TAGTTAAGTGTTGTGATGCAAAATAGGTGTGATATTTTTTGCAAAAGCAGGTAATAATAGATGGTTCACCAGGGCTAGTAAAAAAGTGAAAAGCATTGCGTATATCACATAATGTAGGGTTGAAATTGATTGGTAAAACTTTTAATGTTTTACAATTTTTGTCATAGGTAGCGACTCCTCATTTGTTACCATACTTGGAGTGGAGATCGTCTAGGTTGAAGGAGTCAGGTTCAGTGTTGGTAAGACTTGGCATGATTTTGAAGTACTTTAGGTGTAAAAAATTTGGAGAGAAGAGCTTTGTATAATGTGTTTTCCGAAAAAATTTTTAATATTTAGAAGTTTCTAGGCAGGCTAGGAGATTTCTGAAAAGTGTGGGATCTTTGTGGGGACTTATTGAATGTTTAGGAAAAGTTAATGGGTACCAGAAAAGTGAATTTTCTGGGGCAACCCAATAGATTTTCCTAAAATGCCAGTAAAAAAACCTAAAAAGACAGGTTTTAGTTTTTAACCTTTTTGAAGGTAACTTGCTGAGTTTTTGGCCGTTTGAAGTAAATTATATATCAAAATGTCCGTCTCAAGGAGTTGAGTGTTTGTCTACTAAGAAGCAGTACCAGTTTAGTTAATAAATTAATTAGATAATAAGCAAAAACCAAAGTTTTGGTTTTTCCAACTTTTCTTAGTGGCCAAGTATTGTTGAGCCTTAAAACTTAGCCGCCTAGGATGAGAAAAGTGAGCTGAATAACTTTATTTAAGAGCACAAAAGAGGTTTATATAGTAAAAAATTGAGAAAAAGTTAAATGTTTTTTAGCAAAATTTGGAATAAGTGATCTACAGAGAGAGTTACAGAATTGGTCTATTAAAGAATCGATTTAAACAGGTAAAAATTCAATTAGTTCAGAATTATAGGATATATATATTTTTTTAATTTTAATAGTATGGTAATAAACAAAATTTTTTTGATTTTACAAATCTAGATTCAAATATTAATATGATTTATGATATTTATAAAAATTCAAGAATCTGGTAAGCAAAATTGTAATGATTTTATATCTTTTTAGAAAAAATTAAATCGCATAACCAATTTAAAATGATTTATTATTTAAGGAGATTACTTAAGAATTCATTCTCTAAAAAAAGTTAAATACAACAATAAATGGTAATAATCATTTTGAATCAATATATTAATTCAAGTTTCATTTGTATTATTTTACTCAACAAATTCATTTCATTAACAGTATGAATTTGATATGTATTTTTTATATATTCTTCTATTGGCTTGGACAATCACTCAAGCCTTCAGCGATCACACATATTAATCAACTCAAACTTCAAACCCTTTATCAAGAGTAAATTTAACATGTTTTTGAAAAACACATTTTTATATTTACACCTGAGGCCAATTGTAGAATAGTAAGAAAAAAATTAGTAACAATAATTTAAAATAACAAATTTCGTAAAATAATTCCCAAGAAATTAAGATCATTTTTTCTATAAGCAACTGCATGCAAAACAAATATGAACAGATTTACAGGTTGATAAGTCAAAATAAAATTTGAATAATAAAAAATTTGAATAATAGAAAAAAATTGTATAATAAAAAGCCTGTCAATGAAGTGACAGGTGATCATTATTGTGAGATCAGATGGCTTTATGGATCACATATCCATGTTATCTTTTATGAAATTTGTTAAGATTTAGATAAGGGTATACAAAGTTAATTTTTTGTTTTGCATTACCCCTGATCTATTATTTCAAATTTTCAATTTTTTTTTATTTTTTTAAGCCCTAATTGTGTCAATTATTCTATTTTTGGCATTTAAATATTTTCAAAAAATTAATCAGGTATTACCCAACAGTGACCTTATTTTCCAAAAGTATCTGATAGAATTGATAGAAAAAAATTCGACTGCCAACCCAATTTTCTGATTCCATGTTATAAAAAGCAAAAAATAACTTTTTACGACCTTAGATGTGAACATGAGCCCATTAATTCACTGTGAATTGTAAAAAAAAAAAAAAAAAAAAAAAAAAAAATCTGACCAACCAACTGGGAATTTTGAGATCCATGTAATGCAAACTGAAAAATTAACTTTGCGTTGCCTAATATGATGATTGTATATAATTATTGAAATGTGAATTACTAAGAATAGGGTGTGATCATATGGTTCTGAGTATATAATTAGTAACATATTTAAGGGCTTCGAGTTAGTAGTGTAGGTTATCTTTCTTTTCGCTATCGCTTGCCTTGTAGTGAAGGCTGGCTTTATCATCCCACCCCTCCCACCCATTTCTTAATAACTTGTAAACTAAGGGCAATATATTGACACTTGTTTAGAAAGATTTGGTGGGTGCTATTAGTAAAGAATCCCACATTTGGCAATTAGGCTTCAGCTGCCATAGGCAATGCATGGACTTCAGTTGCTTCATAGCTGCTGTATGCAATGCTAGGACCTCATTTTTGGTGGCTAGGCT